CTGCACCTGTCAGCTTGGCCAACTATAGCCTAACCAGCACAGTGCAGGTGTTCTGCAAAGTTAGCATTCACTTCTTCGTTGACCTTTGGTTTTGGTGTTGATTTCTTTTTTTAATGATACATGTTAGAATCCTTTTGGAGTCACGGAGTTTGTACTCTCTAAAAGGAACTTATGTTTCCAGACATGTTTATGCACCCAGTTCGTGGATAAGGCTGTGATTATAGCATGTTTTTCTGGCCCAGAAACAACAAAGGGGTCCCAGAGCCCTCCAGCATCCTAAAAAAATTACTACTTCCTTTAGCTTTGTCTACATGAGTTCCTACAGGATAAAACTTTTGCTCCCATCACTGTCAGTAACACATACAGGTAAAATTTGACTTATGAAAGATTTAAAACAATTGGTAGATACCATGTGAATTAGAATTCTCAGCTGTGAGAAGCTCTAAGACATAGTCTCCAGAACAGCCACTGTCTGGCTCTTTTTTCCATATACAGTTTTCAGACATGGAGTAGACTAAAATGAAAAATCTGCTTATACAAAGTTATGATTTTTGGGAAAAGGCTGGCCAGGTGTGCTTTTGGTTTTCTCATTATGTTCAGTCAGCCTTTCTTGGGTGACTGCAATGCACTTTTTGTGGGTGATTTAATTTTCCATCCTGGTAGAGATTGAGTTGCAATCAGCCTCCATTCAAGCAATACAGTCTGAGGAGGTGAGTCACTACCAGTTTACATTTGAGAAGCCCAGTGTGTATATAATAAAGTGCATTTTATAATATGTGTGTGTGCATTCTAAGTTTATTTGTATATACAGTGTATTCCACATGTGTTATACTATATACATTATGCAGAAAGTTTAAAATATATACATACATAGTAGAATATATATATCACATACGTAGATTATATATGTGTGACACAGCTTCACATCCCTTTCAATAAGATTTTTCATAGACTTAAGATTATTTCTTATACTTTTGCAATAGTCATTTTTCACCCTACTTTTGCGGCACCTTCTTCCTTTACTCCTGCCTAGCATCAATCTCAGATGCAAAACAATTTTCTATGGACCTAATGGTTTTAATGCTGTTACTTGAGATAGGTGGGTTTACATGAAAAGTTCTCTATCTGAATAGCTTTGTCATATTTGTAAGAGTTGATCAAATCCACTATTGTTCAAATGTCAAAACCCAACATGTAGGTCAACATGTTCCAACTATTGGAGCAGGCTCACTTGACAATAGTAGATTACCCTGTGGTGTATTTGTGGTGCCAAGAAGCCATGCAAACCCAGCAGTGACTAGTCACTTCTGTACAGTCATCTGCAGTGGATGTCCCCAGACAGAGGGGGAAACTTCCCTGCAAAACTCAGCTCATCCAGAGAGATATGAGCAGGACTGAGTCATCTTCTCACCTTGTCCCACAGCGCAACTGATGATACATGTCTGAGGAAGAATTCCTTTGTGGTGTGGAAACTGCTCCTGGAAAGTCACTGCCAGCATTACACAAGGGGCCATCCATGGTGTTCTGGAAGAGACCTAGGCAGAAAAATTATCAGAAAACCTCAGCTAAATGAAAGGCACTGTTCTGGCTCAGAGGATTAGGAGAAGCAGCAGTATTTTCTGCAAAAAGCAGTAAAAAAAGTCTGAAAGTAATTCCAGCTGGAAAATCAGAAGGGGCACAGAGGGCCCTTTTTTTGCCAATCCAGCTGCCCAACACAGTGCTGTGACAGCTGTGGGAGACTGGCTACCTTCAGCAGAACCTGCCTCAGGCAGGTTTGGCAGTTGTGACTCAGAACAGCAGTACAAGTGCACAGGCAAACCAAGTGTTCTCCAGAAAAGCAAAGCTTGCAAACAAAATTTGGGTTACTCTTGCATCTCTTCAAGATTGCTGTGCAGATATCTGTTGGTGTTGTTGGGATAACTACCTTGTAGTGTGTCAGCAAAAGCACCTAACACTGTTGCTAGACTGGGGAGTGGTTCCTGTTGTCCTCTGGCTGATTAGCTATAAAAGGCTTCAAATACAGTCCTAGAGAGCACTTATCTCTAAAAGACTCTTGAAGCAGGTGAGCTACTTGGATTCTAGTAAGGTAAAATAAAAGGTAAAGCACTGGGTATCACTACTCATGGCAAGCACAGTTCTTCATTCATCATACACCAGTAGTCGTCTCTATCACCTTGTGAAGTCCATTGGGCTGTCTCCAGAGTCTATGTTTATCGCTTGTCCTGTTCTTGGATGGGGCATGTAGGGAACTTAAAAGATTACTTAAATTTACAATAAATATCATGTGCAGCTCTCACATGCTAAGAACTGAGAAAACCCGTCTGCTGCTAGCTCCCTCTTTTACAATGTAAATGTCTCTGACCTGCTGTGTGTCTTGGTTTTCATTGTGTGTGTAGGGCACAGCTGTCTCCTTTATACTGCTGTTTTCCTGATGCAAGTTAATGATTTACCTGCCCTGAACGGGTCAACCATTATTTCTGTCCTCTCCCAACCCTCACAGGCTTGCTTGGTGGTTCAAATTACCTTTGCTCCTGAAGTGCATGGAAAGCAAGGACTCTTATTGTCTTTATGGGCTCCAAAGGAAGAAAAGCTGTTGAAGCTAACACTGTTGGCATCAAAAGTGTTAGAACTGTTAGTTTGCATCTGGTTATTGTTTTTTGGCTTGTTTTACTTTTTTGCATGAGTGACAACAGCTGTGTATTTTTGAAGCCTACAGGTAACCTACTTTTTATTGCTATGCACCCCAGTGTCATATTTCGTCTTAGCCAAGGCAGCCCTATCAGGCATGGCAAAACAGATTTTGCAACACGGGAAGAATATTGCTGGCTAAGCCACATCCCTCTGGACAAAGTCAAGACTTAATACTCTTGAGGCTCCCAAGGACTCTGTCTGAGCAGGGATGTGGGGGTTCCTAAGGTTTGTTTGTGGTTTTTCTTGCCCAATATTTTAGGCAAAAAAAAAGAAAAAGAAAAAGGTTTGAACCAATAAATAAAACAAAAGGTTCTAACTTCTGAATGCTGAAGGGAAAAGGGGATGATTTAATTTTGTTATGTGATTTTCCCCTCCTAGGTGAGACATACAGTATTTCTCAATGGTTTATCATATTTTGACATATCCCTTTTGGCCAAACCCCATGATCTTATTAAGACACTCTTTCAAAAGCCCAGGGATTTCATCATCTGTCATAATCCTAACAATTGCTATAGAAGCATGAAGTGAATCCTAAAGGACAAGATCCTTCTCCTAATCCCCACCCTAATCAATCACTCAGTGTTATGGAGCTTCTGCAGGACCTCTGTTACAAGCCATGTTTTCCACATCTCACCATCTATTTGTCAGCCTCTCATAATGTTTCTACACTTTTAACAAGCTTTCTATGTTTGTTCTGCCTCCTGTTATCACAAACTTCAGGTTTGACCTTTGAGCTTCTTGCTGTCCTTCAACGCAGAGATTCCTTATGCATCTCTGCATTGACATTGATCATGTATTAATTTTAGCATTAACTCACAGACCTTTCATCTTGTGCATTTCTGTACATCATCGCGTTTGCCTCTTTTCCCCAATTTGCCTTCGTATCCTCTCCCTATTCTTTGTTTTTGCAGTCTTTTGACTCAAACAATCATCTCCATGCTAACCATCTCAAAATCTCTAATTTCTAGCCTTTTGTGGACTAAAGTGATAGACTTTAAACTGAACTATGTTTAACTAAAATGGAGCACCTGTTTACACACTATAAATTCCCGGTTACCTTTATTTGTGCCCCATACTTCTCCAGATGGGAGTCTCTGGGGAACTGTCATCCTGAACATCCTCTAAGAGAGGAGTTCTGCGTTTTTTGGGGTGGGAGTGTTCCCTAAAGCAGTGAGCCAAAGCTGACCAGTTGTGTTTTGTTTTTAAAAAAAGGAATTTTTACATTTTCCTGGTGTTGCCTTGGGTGATATTTAGTTGCCACGGATCCCAAAGCAGCACCAAGAAGCCATGTTGCAGTTTTCCCTCCTCCATGCTGACAAAAAGTGCTAGTGAGATTGACATCTAGGGGCATCTGGAGAACCCCTCAACACCACAGCAGTGGGTATCATAACAGTCAGAAAACCAGTTGTCATAGTTGTCACAGGACCACCACATTTTAACTTGGAATGGATGAGCACCTATTTCCAACCACCTTGCCATGGGCAAATACACCTTTCACTAGACCAGGTTGTTCAGGAGCCCTCTCCAGTCTGGCCTTGAACACTGCCAGGGATGAGACATCCACAACTTCTCTGGGCAACCTGTGCCAGTGTCTTATCACCCTCGCAATGTTGAACTTATTCCTAATACCCGATCTTAACCTATCTTCTTTCAGTTTAAAGCCATTCCCCCTCATCATATCACTTCATGCCCTTGTTAAAAGTCCCTCCCCATCTTTCCTATAGCCCCCTTTAGACACTTAAAAGGTACTATAAAGACCTCCCTGAAGACTTCCCTTCAGGCTGAACAGCCCTAGCTCCATCTGCTTTTGCTTACAGGGGAGATGCTCCAACCCTCTGATCGCCCTTGAGGTCTTCTCTGGACCCGCTCACCAAGGTTCCTAACCCTTAACCCCGACCTCCGTCCGTGAGAGACTTGAGGGGCGCTGACGAGGGCGGAGCGGGGCAATGCGGGGCGGTGCCGGAGCTGTGCCGGGGCGGTGCCGGGGCGGTGCCGGGGGCCGTGCTGGGCGGGCCGGAGCGGTGCCGGGGCGGAGCGGGGCGGGCGGGCCGCCCCCTGCCGCCCCCTCCGCGCCCTCCCGCCGGCCGTGCCGTGCC